TGCTGTAACTGATTTTGTGTATGTACCATAGTTTGGTTATCCATTCCTCAGTTGATGGACACTTGGGTTATCTCCATCTTGTGGCTATTGTAAATAGTGCTGCGATGAACATGGGTGTGCATATGTCTGTTCTTGTCATGGCTCTCACTTCTTTAGGACATATACCTAGTAATGGAATGGCTGGGTCAAATGGTATTTCTAATTCCAACTTTTGAAGGAATCACCATACTGCTTTCCACAGAGGTTGTATCATTTTATAGTCCCACCAGCAGTGTATGAGAGTCCCAACCTCTCTACATCCTCGCCAGCATTTGTTATTTTCTGTGTTGTTGAACTTTGCTACTAGTGCTGGAGCAAGATCGTATCTCATTGTTTTGATTTGCATCTCTCTAATGGCTAATAATCATGACCATTTCTTCATTTTTGTTGGCCGCTGAATATCCTTCTTGGTGAAGTGTCTATTCATATCTTCTGCCCACTTTTTAATTGGATTATTTGGTTTTTTGTTATTGAGGTGTTGGAGTTTTCTATAAATTCTAGAGATAAGTCCCCTGCCAGATATGTCATTGCCAAATATTTTTTCCCAATCTGTAGGTTCTCTTTTGACTCTTTTGGAGAAGTCTTTGGAAGCACAAACAAATTTAGTTTTTGGAAGGTCCCATTCATCTAATTTTTCTTCTGCTGTTTGTACATTTTGGGTTATGTTTAATAATCTATTTATGCCATATATTATGGCCCCTAAATTTGCTCCTAGTTTTTTTCCTTGAGGAACTCAGTAGTTCTAGGTTTCACATTTAAGTCTTTGATCCATCTAGAGTTAGTTTTTGTGTATGGTGTGAGGTACAGATCTTGTTTCATTCTTCTGCAAATGGATATCCAGTTTTGCCAGCACTATTTACTAAATAAACATTCTCTCCCCCATTTAATGGATTTCAGCCCTTTGTCAAATGATCAGCTGACCATAGGTCAATGGATCTACTTCTGGGTTCTCAATTCTATTCCATTGGTCTGTGTGTCTGTCATTATACCAAAACTAGGCATGCAACTGATTTTGAATCATCAGCAAAATTTTACTTGTGTGTAATATTAAAAATATGGCTTGATAATTTCTACAATCTATTAGATAACACTTTTTTGGAATGGGCACAAATATGGATCTCTTTCAGTCAGTTGGCCAAGTAGCTGTCTTCCAAATTCCTTGACATAAAAGATTAAGCATCTCCTGTGCTGCATCTGTTTGTTGAAACATCTCAATGGGTATTCCTTCAATTCGTGGAGCCTTGTTTTTCACTAATTCCTTCAGTGCAACTTGGACTTCTTCTTTCAATATACCATTGATTCTTGATCACATGCTATTTCCTGAAATGGCTGAATGTCAACCAAGTCTTTTGGTACAGTGACTGTGTATTCCTTCCATATTCTTTTGATGCTTCCTGCTCATTCAATATTTTGCCCTTCAATTCTTCAACATTGCAATTCATGGCATGGCTTTTTCCTTCAGTTCTTTCAGCTTGAGAAATGCTGAATGTGTTCTTCTCTTTTTAGTTGTCTAATTCCAGATTTTTCCACATTTCATTATAATAATTTGTCTTTTCAAACTTCCCTTTGAAACTGTGTTAGACTGGGTTCTCCAGAGAAACAA